GGAATTTCAACTCCTCCAGGTTGCTCGGGGCAGACAAATCATACCAGTTTGGCAGAAATTGAATGAGGTCAGTCACCTCATCATGTTCAACCAAAGAAGGCAGGGGAAGGTTTCAAAGATGAAACTTGAAGATTTCCACAAGCACAGCACCACCAAACTGGAGGGGGAATGCCTGTTGAGTGATTTAGAACGCCAGCTGTGCAAGATGTTCCGTGTTGTTGAAATAGTCGGCAAGAGAGGCAGAACTGTTCCCGTGCTCCTAAGCAATGAGGCGGTAGCATGGTTGAATGCCCTTGTTGCCAACAACTTCTTGTTCGCACGATGTTGTTATGGCGGGAGAGGCCACAGACAAGGGAGTGACTGTTTAAGGGCATGTGCAGATAAGGCTGGCCTTGACAATGCATCCAGCATCCGGTCCACCAAACTCCGTAAACATGTAGCAACTGCTTTGCAAATTCTTGCATTAAAGGAACATCAGCTTGAAACTCTTGCCAATTTCATGTGCCACGATCTGCGGGTACATCGCGAATACTACCAGTTGCCAGATACTGTACAGCGGGTCACCAAACTGTCCAGACTTTTCCTGAGTTTGGAGAGGGGCAACCTGCCTTCCCAGCAGGGCAAATCCATGGACGATCTGCATGTAACTGGAGGTAAGGGCACCTTGTTCTCAAACCATGTTTCCCTTGTTCTGTCTTCCCAACGCTTGACTTAGAACCAAGTCAACCCAACCCAGACTCCCACTTTATAGGGCATCATACTCTGCCGGAAACATTACCTCTCTTCTTATTCACACCCCCCCAGGAAGAACCGACCAGTACAAAGAAAGAAAGGGACCAAAAATCACCCCAATAAATGTATCATGCCTCAAGAACTCCCAAATTAATGTTCCATTTTTGCTGGCCACCTCCCCCCCCCAACATTCCCAACATCAAGCAGAGACTGCCAGACACCTGCTTTAACTTATTGATTTCAATTTTTGGGGTTTACTCTGGAAGGCTTCACCAGTGAAGGGGACAGCAGTGACAGCAGTGAAGACTCCTGCGATGAATCCGGCAAAAACGGTAAGATTTGGTCAGTCTGTCTGTCTGATTGATTGGCAATAACTCAAAAAGTGGAAATTTTTGATGGGTAAAAATCCGTCGCAAATTGAAGTGTTTTATATAAGGGACATACGGTTGAAATTTCAACCCAGTAAAGTACATTTGGTTTAAATTGGAGTGATTTGAATTTTTTTGCGTGTTGTGTGAGTGTTTTGTACATGAGAACAAAGGAAATACCCCACAAGTATAGCTGTGTAAGGATTGGTGTGTGTGTGTGTGGGGTACATCCATCTACTGCCATCAAAAATGGTTCCTTCATCAACATCCATGTGCCCAGTCCCCCACTTTAACATTACCTACGTACTCCCCATTTAGTGAGATCCAAAGGGTGTGATGCCACTGAATACATGTACACATTTACACTGTATATTTGTCCAAGTTCTTGGAGCAGGCTATACAGTGGAAATAGGTGGGAATGAGGTGTTGCACATGGGGCTTGGAACCCAGAGGAAAAATGCAAAAGTAGCACATGGAGAGAACTAAAAGCAGTTCAGATAGTTCTGGAAAGCTTCGTACCAGTTCTTGCAGGTAGCATTGTTAAATGTTTTACATATAGCCAGAATGTCGAAAAAATTATCCAAGTTGGTAGTGATAAACCAGATCTTCAAGAAATAGCCCATGTCATTTACAAAACAGGTGTTAAACATGGAATTGGTTTGAAAATGGAATGGATTCCATGCTCTCAAAATTAAAGAGCAGATTTGTCATATTAGTCATATTATCGATCACGATGATTGGGCAGTTTCAGATGCTATTTTTAACCTTTTTGATCTACTTTGGGGACATCATAGCACAGACAGATTTGCCGACAATCACATGGTAAGTTTGTGCATTTCAACTCGAGATTCTGGAACCGTGGTTCTAATAATGTAGATGCCTGGTTGGGCAGGAGAAAATAACTGGTTAGTACCCCTAATCTCTCTCATCGCCAAGACCATCATACACTTGAGGCATTGCAAAGCAATGGACACGTTGATCTTTCCTAAATTGGTTTCTGCACCTTTTTGGCCTTTTCTCATTAGTTCAGAATGTGGTGCTTTTATTCCGCAGGTACTTGGTTTTCGAACATTCCCAGCATCACATGATTCTTTTCTGTGTGGGCAAAGTGGTCGGAAGGTTTTCACTGAGAATTTTCTATATATCTGCATGATGGCACTGCGTATGTCATTTGTTCAATAAATGATTTTCATGACAACCCCTCCCCCGTCAAAAAAGCCTAATTTGGATTCAGTAATTGCAAAAGGCTTGCTCAGAGCTGTGGAGCTGGGATTCTGTTTGATTTAGGTAGGCTGAAGAGCCTTGAGAATACTTGGAAAGAAATAGGGTTGAAAACTATGTAGAGTTAGGCTGAAGAGCCTTGAGAATAGTTGGAATGAAAAAGCGTTGATATCGTCCAAAATCAGGCTGGAGAGCCGTAAGAATACTTGGGTTGTGTGGTATGCACAATTTTTTCAGTTGCTTAGAATAAGCATTATGCTATATACAATTATCAGAATGGAAGGCCTTAAGAATACCAAATGAATGAATTGCACATTTTTATTAAGGACAGAGAATAAAGAAGAGTACGGATGCAGAGCCTGCAGATCATTAAAATTGTGTGTTATGCAATTATATGCACATATACATACATAAAAGAAACTGAGAAGCTTAAGATAATGAGTGTGGCTGTAATTAAAAAAAGGGAGTGATACTTTAATACGAATTTTTTCACAGAGTTCATGGCGAGATATGGTGGAAATAGAAGATCCTTTGCTGAAGGAACTCTACGAAAAACTGCCAAACGTGGTTCTGCAAGACAGAGCAGGTACTACTGCGTCTCAATATATCTATGGCTTCCTGAGGTGGAAAAGATGGGCTGAAGCAAGAGCACTATTTGTGCGTCCGCTTCCGGCTGCTTTACTGCACATCACCCTTTATCTACTGAGTGTCATGCGGACTTGTAACACTCAAGCTCCAGTTATCGCTGCATTTTACAGTATCGCCTGGCTGCATCGTGTGGCATCATTGCCATCACCAACAGAACACTCACTTCCCAAGTTGGTCCTCGAAGAAGCCAAAAGAACACTTGGCAAAGGTCCAAAAAGAAAGGAACCTATAATGCCAGACATGATAAAAATGATTTGCAAGAAATGCCCTCTAGGAACAGCAAATCTGGCAAATATCAAGGTTGGGTATGCTGCCGTTCTCAGATTTAATGAGTTACAAAACTTAAGTTACTCCGACATTGTAATTTTCGAAACCCATGCTTCTATATTTATAGAGAAAAGAAAAACAGATGAACACAGACAAAGAACATGGGCTGTTATCAGGAAAACAGGCAGGGCTGCTTGCCCGGTTGGTATTTTAGAAAAATACCTAAACTTACGTAAACTACCCACCAATTCACAGTAGTTCATATTCTGTTCAGTCTCTAAGAACAAAAATTGATTCAGTCTTAAATTGGAGGATAAACCAATTTCTTATACTTGTATGAAAGAGCTGTTTCTTGAAGCCATCAAAGATACAGTAGTTGATGTGGCAATTTACAGTACATTTATAGCCTTCACTCTTGCGGTGCAACTCAGGCCATCAAGAAAGGAATCCCTGACAGATTAATCAAGAAACATGGGCGTTTGGTGTCTGAAACAGCCAAAAATATATACATCATAGAGGCCTTACAAGGGAAACTGAAGTTTCACAATCCTTAGGACTTTAAAGCCCACAGTGAGTCAAAAATAAGCAAATTAAATGCGGTATATATAATCAAAGTACCAAAATTAAATGTTTTAGTCAGTCATTCATCCCGTTCTTTACATGCCTGCCTGTCGGTATGCCCTCCCAAAGTTGTAACCAACTTGTGACATGGAATGATCAAGAAATGTAATGAGTGGCTAATTAGAACGAAATTGAGTTCTTGATTGTGGCATATCACTCCGCGAGTGATAAGCAGAGTGATGTACTGTGATAAGTCTCTATGAAAGTGTAGTCTGGACTGGAATTCGTCATCTGCATTACCCACTGGCACCCGGCACGACATATTGTTTATTAAAAAACTTGTCGCTAATTAAAATTGTCAAATTTATTCATAGGGAGTTGCCACTTATCAATACATTTACAAGTTTTTTCCCTGAAAAGGTTTTTTTCATCCTACAAATGTCAGTGAGGAAGTTGTTATCCTTTAGTTAGATCCTAGCACAGTTTTTGCTGTACAACTTAATCCCTTCGCACAAGGAGGTGGCTAGACACGCCGTAAAAATTGAGATTCTCAGCCCGCTTTTCAGCTGTTATTCTCAGCCCATGCTCGAGTGAACACGGTGAAAGAAGGCAGACCCTGGCTCTTGTATATATGGTAATTTGTCGTTGTGCGTAGCCCAGAAATGAAAAGATCAAATTTGCATCATAATCACCAGCTTCACAATAGTCCCCACTTTGAAAAGAGGCAACTGGAATGTTGAAGGGTGAGTAGAGCCGCATGCAACCGAACATCAGCCTTTTCACCATGTAATTCAAAGTGTGCAGAGCACGCAGGGCCACAAACCGAGAATTTGCGGTTTGGCAGGTGGCCTTCGAGGCTGGAATTCTTGGAGTCGGCTTTCGGGAAGAAATTCCCGTCGGCAAGGAGTTAATTGTAATAGAGGCAACCTGGAGTTTACTGTCAATAATTGTCATCAACTTGATTAGTATCTTTGACGTAAATATTGTTAAAAGAACAGAAGAGAATAAAAAGGTTTGGTCTATCCGTTGGCACGCCTGCCTGTCGGAATGCCCTCCAAAAGTTGTAATTAACTTGTGATGCGGAAATCAAGAAATAAAGTTTCTGCCGTCTCTTGTCAGTTAAATTTGTGTGTAGTGTATTATCAAAAAAAGTGTAGTGGGCCCTCACTTGATGAAATTCGACATTTTGTGTATAATTCTGTCAAAGGGAAGTGTTATTTACAAAAATTGACCTCATATATATATAATGATGTTTCAGCTTTGGCTGATTCCCTTCAAACCCGACACATTGCTAGACTACCACCTGAAGATGAATGCCAAATAAATCTCACAATTCATTATAGAATTTTGAATGTGCAAATTTTCCCCAAATTTTTTGTACATGTTTTTGATGGCCGTTTTTGCTACTTGGCAATCTTGCATCTTCATCAAAGTTGAACAAAGCAAAGCCTGGGGATACCAAAAATGTACTGAATGACATAATTATGACACTATCACCCAATTTATTAATATTTCAGTTTTCTCCATGTGTTTCGGACACGTTTTGAAAGCTTTTTTGAAACTTGGTATCTTGCATCGTCAAGGTTGACAAAGCAAAGCATCGGACACCAAAAATGTAACAAAAGAATGACGTCATGATAGTGTCATCAGGTATCAAGTTAGTGCGTAATTCATGCTTAATCTTCATAGATCTACAAAAAATAAATCAACCGTGACTTAACGACAACTATTTGATTTGCGCTGTTCCAACTTTAGTTTTTATCAAGCCAAGAGTCTACCAACAAACACAACATACATCTCATCTTCCTTGGCTTTTCCGCAGTTTGGAAAAAAGGCATTCTTTTCATCGAGGGTTTCTTTGTGGTTTTTTTCCCAATTTTGCGAAAAAGGCATTACTTCTATTCTTTTTTTTTCTTCATTCACTTTGTGCATTTTTTTTGTACACAACTTAACTGCTTTTGCAACTTTGGATCTTCATCAAACTTGTACCAAGGAAGGACCCTTATGCATAGACGGTCCTCGAAACATGACGTCATGATGACGTCATCAAGTGATTTATTATTAAATTTTTAATATTGAAATATTACGTTAATTGTTTTAAAATCCATATAAAATCAACCGTTGCTTCCTGCAACATTCTGTTTGGGGCACATGCCAAGTTAAAATTGGGTCTTCATTTTATCTCGTGTGGGTGAAATCACATGACCCTTCCGGTCGAAATCCGAAGCTTTCAACGATGTCAGTCACTGGGGGTATAGTATTCTTCA